AATGCTGAAGTACGCCGAATGATATTCGGGGGAATTAACTTACCCTTGATAGATGAACTGATCACACTGCCCCGGCTGCGCTGGCTTGGCTACGTGCTGCGTATGCCAGTCGACCGGCTTCCTCGAAGGGTTCTTTTCGCACAACCACATGAAGGGTGGAAACGAGTCAAAGGCGGTCAAACAGTGACTTGGCAGCGAAGTATAAAATGCATTACCAGCAAGCTCAGCTGCACTGGTCATTGCCGTCTTCCTGGATGGAGACCCCGAGACGGACCGTTATCAAACGTCCGTCGAACTAATGTTTAGCTGCTTTTGTTTGGTCCACGGCGGGCCAGGAGATCCCTGATCACACTCACTGCTTGAAACCCAAGATGGTTAGGACACGGTTTCCGGGTGACCACAACTGGCCCCCCTTAAGAAATGTTCCCTGTAGAGCTAGCGACTGACGTGTAGATATCATCGAGTGGTTAGATTACATACTCCCTTGGCTAATGTGGCGCGTCCCATCTGCATGAGTTGGACCTGAAAACAACAAAAAGATCACGTAGATCCGAACTTCGGGGCGTGTATTTTGATTTCCGGCTTCCCGTTTTGTTGAAGCACCGTAGTTTATGGGCTCATTAGTCCGCACTAGTCTTTGGATATATGTTTGTATTTCAAATAGCTTACCGAGGTTGGCCTTAAGAATGTCTGATTTATACGCCGTTCAAAATAAGAGCTGAGGAACGCTCATCTATGCACCTAAACGTTTCGATGAGAATCGGTCAGTCTACTTGTGTGTGGACCTCCAGAAGCAGATATTTTTCGTTAGCATTCAGTCTGTGGATTACGTGTTAATCCTTTTATGAGGCGTTACTGTGACCTACGTCTCCCATATTCTTCGCCATCAACTGCGATCGATCGACCACCCTTGGCTCAACTTTGCTGTCAACAGTCACATACGCGACCCGAACAGACAAACTAAATAGTATATGAGCAGTGGGACATAACCCTCATGATGCTGAACTCTGGTCATGTGGGGGTTGATTTCAATTTTCAGGTCTCTAATCCGGATAGTCCAAAGGTCTTTCAAATTCCCGTTCCCTAGAGGTCAATGTCAAGGTTACTTGAATGTACCTTTTTCTTCGTTTTCCCCAGATTACCACACTTGTAGGGCCGCGGTCCATCATATATGGCTTCTTTTTCCGGAGTGAGGCGGATCAACCTCTGGTTGTAGGGAGATTTCGACCTCCAGTTGTTTGGTACGGTCTCGCAGACCCGTTTACTGGTATCTGTTGGGATGTGGCAAAAAGGGGCTATCGGTTTTGTGGTGACACAGCTTTTCATTACTGGATAATCATCATCGACATTATGACTTCTGTGTCCATCACTAATGATAAAAATAATCGTTCAGCTGTAACACTCTTTCGCTGCCTATCTGCTATGCCACCCGAAGGAAGCACGAGTGCTGGGATACTACCAGGTTGCCCAAGCCTAGACAAGGGAAGTCGAGAGGCAGATGTCGGATTTGAACCACGGATCTTCCAGTCAGTAAATTCGCGCTCTAACCACTGAGCCATCTCGCTGTTCAACAATGATGTTTCGTTACCATTTTACTAGAGAATGGAAACCTTCATACCACGGATCAGAGGAGCCCTCTGTTCACTAAACCAACATGTTTCCGCTAGTTGTGGGGCGACCAGGATTTCATCAACGTCAACTAGCTTAATGCTTCGGTAACTACTCGACCTAAGTAAACTCCATTTTGATAAATCAACATTACACAGGAGCTAAACGTGGGACCACAGTTCAGAAGTACGATTAGTCGCAGATTGGCCAATTGGAAGCCAAAGTACGGCCAGGGCCTGGAAGTGTTCCTTCCGGGAATAGGCACACAAAGGTACCTTCGACTGCTGCGTTGCCAAGCTGTGCTAAAATGATCTGTTAATGCAGTTCCTGTTCCGAAGTGACTGCCTCCGGTCCATCGCGCGATAGTTGTCAGCACCAATACAGGGGATTGTTGACGCTTCATGATAGTTACATCTATTTCCACGGTAATTGATCAGTCACAACCATATGCTTCAAAGACGAGCTTATCGTCCCACGGTTCCCCGACGTTAGTCTATTCATTTTTTGCGATTTTAACGCAGACAATTTGAGTCTCTCGACAAGTATAACCGAACACTGACTGGTCCGGATGGGAACTGGGTCAATCAAACACATCGCCGCGACCCTTAAATGACATCAAGCACCATCTCAACCGAAACGATGTGTTCAGCCTCATTTGCCACCAAGTCAGGTCATCATTTCGACCGAAATTTGTCTGCATGTTGATGATGTCCACAGCCATGATCATCCATTTGCATAACCATTCCATATTCTTCACCACCACCATCATCATCACTGACAGTAAAGTCAGACGACAGCACTCATGCCTCACTGTCGTGCAAGTGTCGTTCCATTCAATGAAGCCTTATAATGAAAAAAGAAGTGGGCAGGACGGAGACCTAAGGCTAACCTTCAACAAACATCCGGGGTGCGTACACTTCCAACACTGGATAGAAACTGACACCATGACCACCACTGACATCGGTTAGCCGTCGTATCGTCCAGTTTCCCCAACCAAGCACGGTGAGGGTCACGTGGACCCCATCCTGGAAGCCGAATAGCACCCATATTCTCCATGGCCGTCCAGTAATGACTACCAGCGAGCTTTCTAACGTAACCTCATTTTATAACGTGGTAGGTGAAGCATTTGTGACAGTGTGCTCCTCGGAAATAGTGTCATGAAGCGATATATTGCTACCAAACGTATTTCTCCTTCCGGTCAGTCTTTTCGGACAAAACTGTGGTTCTGGACTATAACCGTCACCCTATTTAGGTAGCTTCCGGACGCCTCACCGTGCTGTAGCTTTGAGAGTCAGTTTCTATGAACTCGCCACTTGTGCTGGTTAGGCAGGTGGAGGCGATACCAATAAGGAGCGGTGGGTGCCGGCTTGTTCATCATGTATCTTACTGGAGACTGAAACTTTGTTGAGGCCCACGTGACGGTCCTGAGAATGACTAGCTCCCTCCGTTCATCAGGATGTAGTGTCCGGTTCAACTTGTCACAGATTACCTGAGGTGATCAGTATAATCACAGCGTCTTTGCCGTCTGTGATGAGATATGAAGTCATGTAGGGGCTAGGTGGCTCAGTGGTTAGGGCGCGGATTTACTGACTGGAAGGTCCGTGGTTCGAACCCGACCTCTGCCTAGGCTTGGGCAACCTGGCAGTGTCTTAGCCCTTGTGCTTCTTTCTGGCGGCATGGCAGCTGAAAGGGTGTTAAAGCTGAACGATTATCGAATCTTTTGTGAAGTAATGTTCCGAGAGTATCAAATAGTGATCGAGTCGACCGCCCCCCTACTGTGGGTTGTGTGCTGGAACGGCACCAGTCCAACAATTGTGGCCCAAACTGGTGCTAATAGGCATCACAGTAATATCAGATTCCTGGCTGATTTCCCATTCACCCCTCCTGCTTTTTTGTCTAGACGATCTGAAAATATCTCAGCCCGTGTTTTCCCTCTCGGGATACGGGTTTTTCAAACATCGGAGACGTATCTGGATGATGTTTCTAGTTTCTTCATTATCCACTGGAGAATCCTTTGGGTGATGCGAAGTTTGATGTGTAGTCCAGTATGCATACAAGGGGACCCAGTACGCATACAAAGGTCCGGATATGTCTCCGGCGGTGTCACCCCCGTTGGGGCCAAAGTTCAGCATCTCTTGGTAGGATACCTCTCATGGGAGAGGTATCCTACCGGACAGACACGTGACACGAAATCACATGGCATTCGGTGCTAACCAATCGGTGATTACCTTGCGTTTGCAAATCTCGAGCTGGTGTATTACGTGTGCTTCGCCAAAGTACCGTGGGGAGCTTTTACACTTCGTTTCGAAAATATTGGTAGACGGTATGTTACTGGGACTGATCTCAAAGTGTCTTATACATAATTGTATTTGATTTTTATTTCTTCTCACCATTTCACAGACAGTTCGTGGCTCAGAAGCTCACTTACTGGAACCCTCGGCCTAAACTGGTGCTTGTAGTCCTTACATTTTCGAATCTACTCACCCCTCTTTTGGTTCTCTCAATCGCAGTTCTCAACTTGACCCTAATCGACTTACCCGGTATGACCAAGGTTCCAGTGGGTGACCAACCGCCAGACATTGAGATCCAAATCCGCAACATGATCCTCGAGTTTATCACACAGGAGAGCTGTCTAATCCTTGCGGTCTCGCCGGCCAATTCGGATCTGGCCAACTCGGATGCGCTCAAACTGGCTAAGGAGGTGGACCCACAGGGAATGCGAACAATCGGTGTCATCACCAAATTGGATTTGATGGATCAGGGAACGGACGCCAAAGATGTTCTGGAGAATCGCTTGCTACCGTTGCGGCGTGGTAAGTCTGATTGATGTTTATGACTCCATCGTACCGGTATTCTCATGTGTCTATCTCAGGAATTCGGTAAGTTTCACTCAGGACTCGCAGTGCTCCCCTGGTTTTGAGTCGCCTTATTGTTAATCTCGCCTTTGTCATGCTGATAGAGAATATCGTTCGAGTGTAGCATCATTTCGGCACCTAGCTGCCATGCTAACAGAGGAGGACACAAAGACTGGGATGCTGCCAGGTTGCCCAAGCCCAGACAGGAGCAGTTGAGATGCAGAGGTTGGGTTCGAACGACAAGGTATGACTTGGAAACAGTAGTATTCGGGATGGAAAAAGATGTCCCACATACCACATCTTCACACTCCAGCAGAGGTTCGAGAATACTTCTAGATGGTCCAATGTCACCTGCTTTAAAAAGTGTGTTTGATTCTGTCAATACGTCTGTTCCGGTCCAAGTTCCTCCCTCGTATTCACAGACTTGTGGGCTTGGCGGGCTCTCCGGGAGCTTGTCTCCCATTTTCTCCGTTTTTTGTGTAATATGATAGTTGATTAGCTGATCGATCGGACGCCCGAGGTTCTCCAAATCCCCGGAGTTCAAATCGCTGCAGGAAAGAGTTTTGTTGGTTCTTTTTTTCTGCAACGGTGATAATAATCCTTCGGCTGTAGCACCCTTTCAGTGCATAGCTGCCAGGCTTCCTAAGCCTGAATAAGAACAGTCGGGGGCCAAATGACTCACTGGTTAGAGCGCAAATTTACTGGCCGGAAGTTCCGTGGTTCGGACCCCACTTCTGCCTCTCGACTTCCCCTGTCTAGGCTTGGGCAACCTGGCAGTTTCCCAATCCTCTTGCTTCCTTCGGGTAGCATGGCACCGAAGGGTTATTGTGGCTAGACGACAGAAGCAATCGGGATGCCATAGTTGGGTACGAATGGCGGTCCCTCAAGTCAGTAACTTCGCACCTTGACTACTAAGCCGTTTCGAGCCCGTTTCCGAGATGGAGGAAGAAGCTCTTGCGTTCTTCGAAAACTCGGCCAGTTCTGTCATCTTTTGCCGTTGACTTCGCAACCGCAGAGCCTAAATTTATGCTGTAGAACATCGATCCTCTGAATACACGCGTTTGAGACCCTAGTGCTAGTGTTACGGACGATATATGCGCTTGACCTCAAATGCCAGAGTTCTGTCCTCCTATTCATACCAATTGGGCCGTTAAAAAAAGTACTTCGGAACTCCAGAATCGTATTTAGTAGGTGCAGAACTTGGCCTTGGCGGGCGGATTACCTGAGGTTCCTTCGGGTCTTTGATCACCGAATTCTCCGAACTACGGTTGGATTAGGCTAATCCCAAGGGATTCGCAACCGGCTGATCAGAAACTGGGCATGTAGTGCGGCGTCAGGTACTTCACTTGGGTAATTCGCACAACCAGTTGCAGCGGCTTGACCCTGTGGTTGCACAAAGTATGAATTATCGTCTGTTGGGAAGAGCGTCATTTTCCACGACAACTTCAACTTGGCACAAACCAAGTGTGACCCACCGAAGGAGGGGAATAAGGATTGTCATGAGAGGTATGAGCGTTTTCGGCAGTTTTCACTTTCCAGGTCCCCGGTACTCAACTCTTTCTTGACTGGTGATGTTGTAGGACATGGCCGCTAATGGATGCCAGTGGTGTTCCCGCCTCAGTTATCACACTGGGCGAGATGGCTCAATGGTTAGAGGGTGACCTCTGCCTCTCAACTTCCTCTGTCTAGGCTTGGGGCGAGATGGCCCAAGTGGTGACCGGAAGGGTGCTACAGCTGAACGCTTTCTTTCTTTCTGTCTAGGCTTGGACGACCCGGCAGTATACCAGCCCTCGTGGTTCATTCGGGTTGCATGGCAGCTAGTTACAGCTGAACGATCAGTTGACACACTGAGATCGCGAATGCTGATGCTGATGAGCGCGCGCATGGTCGTCCAATCATTTACCGTAACCGATATGGTCATCCGTGGAACCCATGGCCTCAGTTTAGCATTTTCTTATTATATGGTCTTTAGTGGAAAAAATACTGTCGCACGGTACCGTGGAAGGGGGCGTAGCAACCTGAATCCGGCCTCTGCATCTCGACTTCCCCTGGGCAACCTGCCAGTATCCCAGTCCTCGTGCTTCCCTCGGGTGGTATGACAGTTAGGCACCGAAAGGCTGTTACACCTGAACAGTAAAAAACTGGATTGGTTTAATCGATTTGGTGAACTCGTTTTAGAATTCCCTCGTATTCCTACTTTAAAAGTACGCATAGTATGACACTAAAACTGGTATGCAACACAGCTTTCGATTAAAACCCCCGTTCGGGTACGTTCTATCCTTGTGCGCATCTATGTGGTTGACCAGTCTACACGCACGTTCGACCCACAGGACGTGTATAAGCCGTCATTACCTCCCCCATCTCCACTGGGGTTTCCTTGTTTTCCCTTTTTCAATTCATTCGTCACTGTCAGCAAAAGATGATCTCAAGTCATCGGGACTGCTCATTTTTCGCTCTGTAAACTACTTTGTTTTAGTGTTCAATTGTTTGTTACGTCCACTTGACGGCTTCTTCAAGTCCCTATTGCGTAGAACTTTCTGGGGATCAATAGGGACTGCAGTTCTCCTGTATGTCTGTCTGACACACACTCGCCCCAAGTTACTACCCTTTGCTCACGCCTGTCACGCCATTCTGTCTCCCATCTCCTTCAACCAACACGTGATCTTTCGATTCAGTGGTTGCTCTGCTCAACCAATCACGTGCTGTTTTGTGGAAATTCGTAGAGTTTACTGCACATTGCGGCGTTTCTTTGAGCCCAATTTTTTGCGAATACCGAGCAAAGAAAATAAACTGGCCATCCGCTCACTGTCGGAATCTGATAATGTATCAGTGGTGTATTGTAAGACTCCGCTGTTCGGAGCCCTTAGGCTGTATTCCGCTACAAAAAGAACTGGCCAGTCTTCACTTTGGAAGCTGTTACGCGCAAAAGCACTACAAGTGTGTTTCCATAAAGGAAACTACTCACAAGGTTGCTGAAAACTCTTCGACAACCCACGACCGGTTTCGCCCTTCTTGGGGCTCATCAGGTAGGCGCAGTCCCCAAGCTTCCGTCAGCCTTATGATCTACTTGAGCCCAAATTGGACTGTTCTCGGGAAATGCACTCATTTGCAAATCAATTTGGTTTTCACGAGAAACTCAATTGAATCTCTCGTTTATGATGTTTTTCAACTAAATGTGCTGGACACAGGCCGCCTCATGTTTCAGTTGGCACGATATTCGAGATATCGCAGTATATTTTAATAAAGAAAACTACTCACAAGGTTGCTGAAAACTCTTCGAGAGCCCACGACCGGTTTCGCCCTTCTCGTGAAAACCACTAAGAGTGTGGCTATATCAGCTGGTGTTCCTTCGTGTCACTGTCAGTCGGTCATCTCTAGTTTGGACCGGTTTCAAAAATCCCAATAATCGGTGTGAGAATGGGTGTTTCGAATGCGCGGTTTCTCGGAGATGTCTGATTTCTATTCAAGATTCCACGTCTAGCCTTCTATGACCAAATACAGCATGCCGAGCAACCGAATAATGAAGAGAACTGATACATAGTATCTCCGTTTTGATCATTACACCCGATTTCTGCCCCCGCTGCCGAAACTTCCTCTTTTCTAAATTTACAGCCCAACTTCTGTAAGTGATCCGTCGAGTCGATATGATTGCTGTCACCTTGAGCGATAGATGAACTCTGATGGGGAACAGGATAAACGTTAGGGTTTGTAAGAACTCAAAATACCACCTATGAATAAAGTTTAGAAACATTGATTAAAATGGTTTCCACGGGTGGAAGGTCGTCAAATGTCCAGGATCTCAGGTTATCCCAAATTCTCATTTCGGAGTGATTCCATTGGGCGGTATAATTCTGAAGCTGTTTCGCCAGTGGGCTCAGCAGACGTGAGTTCAGTGGAGCGGACAAACGCCCGGGAGCACACACGTATTCAGGAGGTTTTCGCTTTCACCTGTTAGCTTATACAAACACAAAACGAACTAGAATTCGTTGGATGGTCAAGTGTACAGAAATGTAATTAAAAATGGGAACGAGTAGAGTGCGTCGATCTCTCTCGTGAACCTAACTAACCCGAGCGAAAACCGACCCCTTGAGATTTGCGACCCATGTATCAACAAAATGGAAAATGTCATAACTTCCATGTCAAATAATTAATGATCGCTTCAACTGTAACCTCCTCTCGGTGCCTAGTCAACACCTAACCCGAGGGCTCGGATACTGCCAGGTTGCCAAGCCTAGTCAGTAACAGTCAACACACTGAGGTTGGGTTCGAGCCGTGGACCTTAGTAAGTTCACTTCCTAGCCACCGAGCCATCTCTTCGCTGTTAGCGAACAAAGAGATTCCGCTTAGCTCATAATTCCAGTGTTAAATGCCACGAAGGCGTTGGTCTAACCATTATCTGATTCGCGTTGTAAGTCCGCTACGATGAACTTGTCCCCCTTGTGTTCGATGTGCTCATTTTGAAATGACCGCACTTTAATTGGGATGCATAACATCTGCTACAACCGTTCCCATTGGGGTTGATGCGCAGCTGAATCCAATGACATCGAACTCATTCGAATTGGGAGAGAGGAGTCAATTCAACGGGAATACGCTTGGACTACTCTTGATCTCTGTCCATCTGTGACCTCGTCCCTGTAAGACAATTGACTGGATAGGTTAAGATTAGAAAATTTCGAACTGCATCGTCCGGAGGCCAGCCGTCCCTAATAACCGAACAACATCATTTGGACGGATGTCACGTGCAGGGCGCCGACCAAACGAAGGCATGCCCTGATTGGTCAGATTCCAGCCAATCCAGATCGAGAATCTTTGACTCGACGCATCTCGCCCCCTCACGGGGATTCCAGCACGACCTTGTGGAATAATCTGTGACTACCCTATAAATACAGTTGTACTAATTTTCCTTTGTCTACATAAAAGGGCTGTCCAGAGCTACCGTGCCTTTTGCTATACCATAG